GAGCTTCCTACTTAGACTCCGCTAGTGGCGGTGGTCTCCTCTTTGCCTATCTAGTCGAAGCACAATTATGTGTAGTCCTGAGTAGAATGGCATGTTGGTGATCAGGATGGGATGGGTGGATGCCATGTGTGGAGGGGATGTGTCTCCTAACTGTGGGAATCATCTTGATCCTACTCAGTATCACTTGCTACCAACACAATTCCCATTTAAAAGGTTAATAACAGATGCCAGAATCAACCAACCAACCTGTATTACAGTGCATTATTAGTTTTGTAGGAGTTCACCTGTAATCAGAAGCTCCAGCACATATTTTTATATTCTTTTATTTTATATTATAAAAAATTATGAATATAATTTTGTAATCCATTGGTATCTGAACTTGCAAGTGATCCTATACATCAAATACATATGTTCATGTACATCATATTTATTTCTTCAAACAAAATCGAGAATGCTTCCTTTGTATGCCTCTACTTTAGACATTTCTATTCAAGATTATAAGGTCAAAATTTGTCTTTTAAGGTTTTGTGAAATCATTGGAGTTTTTAAAAATTATTTAGGGGTCATGTCTAGAGTCCTATGGTGGTAGTCCTATGCTAATTGCTTTACAGGAGGCTCTCATTTAATATTCATGATGATTATAGGAAGAAGACATTCTTAAACTCATCTTAATGATAGGGAAACTGAGGATCAGAGATACACACACACACACACACACACACACAAAAGCAATTGATTGAAATATGTGGATTGAAAAATCAAAATCCATCACAAAGGAGAGCTGAATTTGAGAGATTAAGAATCAGGAACAAATGAGGACTCTCTTCAAGGTTTCAGAGTGGTGATGAAGAAACATCAACTCCTTTACATTTTGAGCTCATGCAAGACAAGGGTTTTCAAGAAATGAATGCAATTGGTTTAGTTAAGTCAGAATAAGATGCCCAGCCCTTGAGTTGGAGACCATCTTGCATGAAAATTCAGAAATGCAGAAGGATTTTCTCCTAGGGGAAAATTAGTATGCTATTAATTAACAAAACATTAAAAGGGATGCTATGCAGACAAAAACATAGATGTCCACTATAGGAACTCAGGTATGCCCATCATCCTTTTTTTTTTTTTAATTTTATTTTCAGAGCAGTGGGAAATAATCACTCATAGTAATCACATCACCTTGAGCAATGATAAAAGAATAAACTTAGATTAAATTTTAGTGTTGATTAAAGTACAATGCAGCCAGTACTTTAAAAAGAAATATTAATTGATTGTGACAAGGTAGGAAAGTGGAAGGAAATTAATATTTGGAGAGAGCCAAGCACTATGCTAATTGCTTTACAGGAGGCTCTCATTTAATATTCATGATGATTATAGGAAGAAGACATTCTTAAACTCATCTTAATGATAGGGAAACTGAGGATCAGAGATACTCAGTGATTTTTTTCAAGGTTGCATGATTAATAACATACTAACATAATGATGTGGTGCAAGTTGTATTGCTGTCAATATGGTTCCAAAGAAAAACACGTGTAATTGTTAGTCTGCCTTGCTGAAGTGATGTTGCAGTTGTCATGGATAATTACTACATAACTCCTCTCTGTTGGTCCATCTTGTTATCTTGAGACCTAATAAAATATAAGCATCTCTTTTTCTGCTGGTATTTTTAAGGACTATGAATATTATCACCGGCTAGCACATTTTCTTTTCTAGCTAAAAAATCTCAGTTGTCAGTTTTTATTTGAAATTGGCTGTACTGTTTTTAACCCATTTTTCTTAGGTCAGGTTTCCTAGAAACAGTTCTTGAGATGGGGATTCAGGTGGATGTGCTTTATCACAGCACACTTTTCAGAAAACAAATGAACTGAAACACTTCAAAGGAAGTGAAGGAAAGAGAAAGAGTCAAGCAAGAATATGCTCCCAGGTAAAAACAAGGACCCTTGTCCTGATCCACAGGGGACTCTGGAGCATACTTTGTACTTAAGACTTTTCACTCCTGAAATTGGGGACTAGGTGAGATATCGACTGAGAGTTATTATCCAGAGGTGGGGCAACACTGAGCCTTTAATAGATGACACTTGCAGGAGCTGGTAGATAGGTTTACCAGCTCAATAAAGGGAATCTGGGCCAGCCATGAACAATATCAGCTCTCATTTGACATTCAGGAGTCGAATCATTGCTAACTTCATGGTCAAAGAGAGAGTAGGTCTTGCTTCCTACTTTTTCCTTTCTCCTTGTAACAAAATGTTTTTACTCCTCAGGAAATGTCCTTTCTAATAGGATGATACACCTCACTGCTGAGCCTGCTAGTTTCTGGCAGGAGGACATGTGTCCTTGGCTATGTAAGACAATGCTTAGTCATTGGCTGGATTTAGACCTGCTTTCATCACTGTAATGTTATAGTGGTCTTGTCCTAGAAGACAGAGGATAGGCACCGATGCCAGAGAGCCATGATTCATGACTGGAGCTGGTGCATCTGCGCTCTAAGGATGCAAGCCTTGTAAGAGAAAATAGTACCTTTTTGTTTGTTTTCTTAGCTTGCACATCTAGCCTAAACATTCATATCTTACTTTTATGGTTTAGGTAGATAGCTTTTGTTTATGTCCCAATTCTCCTTTCTCTTATCTGACCCTCTTGAATTGAGTTTCATAAAACGATACACTTTTGTGGTTTAACAGATATCAGGCTATTTAAAATAATTTGGGTGCGCTAACGCGGAGGGATTTTTAAGGAGGGAGACTTTCAAGGTGGCATAAATAGTTATTTTCTACTTTACCTAACATCCAAACGATTGTAATCACTATCTTTTTCACCAACTAAATCTTTCAGTCCCTGTGCACCCATCTGAACCCCCACTTTCTCCTTTCATGGATAATATCTCCTGTCTTACTTGTTGTTTTACAACCTCTGACCTCTTCTAAGTGCTTTAGAAACACTGCTCACCTACTAAGTGCAAGTAATGGAACAACCCCAACATACCTCTCAGGGCTTATGATGAAAGTCAGTTATAGATCAATTTTTCAGGGTCCAAATCCCCTGAGCACCCTGCATTTTAGGAATTTCCACTCCATTTCTGCATCCCTTAACTGGTTTCCCTTTCTGCAGGATCTGCTCTGATCTCATACATTCTTCACACTACCACTAGAATCCTATTTATTAAACCCAATTATTTTACCTTTTTGTTTCTTTTGAGTTTTTCCTTGGGCTTGCTGTCCAAAAAGTTGAACAAGTAATTAAATTTAAAATAACTGACAAATCAAATTATATCATCTTGTTGCTTATGCTGTACTAGTTCTCCATGATGTAATTGATCATAAATTCTAGATAACTCTGTGTGTGTGTTGTGTGTGTGTGTATGTTTATGTGTGTTCCCTCGATATCCACAAAAGATTGGGTCCAGAGCTTCCCACACGTGCCCAAAATCTGTGAATGCTCAAGCCCTTTATATGAAATAGCATGGTATTTGCATTATAACCTATGCAAATCACCAGCTTACTTTAAATCACCTCTAGATTACTTATATACCAATAAAATATAAATGCAATGTAAGTAGTTGTTATACTGTATCATTGAGGGAATAACAAAAGCCATTTGTAAATAATCATTATAGATGAAATCTTTTTTTAATATTTTCAGTCTATTGTCATTTAACTCTGTGGATGTGGAACCTGCAGATACAGAGGACCAGTTGTAAATATATCCTCATTTTGTGCCAATTTGCACCTTATTGCCTGCATGCTGCATTTGCAGAATTATGGGCTCACTAGGCTTTCTCAACCTCAGAATGTGAACGTATGTCATGTTCTCATATGTCACGGTTCAGCCTTTCCTCCTGTGTCTACCTGAGCTAATCTTACCATCTTCATGTCTTTGGAATTGAAGCAAATTTTACTTCCTCAATGAAGCTTTCCATGAACCCCCAGGCACTTTTAGTTATTATTCACTTTCTCCTGTGTTTCTTTAGTGCCCTTGATATATGTACATTTTAATAATTTGCAGTTCTCTATTTACAAGTCTGTTTCTCCTCTGAGTCATGAGGGCAGCCATGTAACTGCACAGATATGGCTCCCCAATGTCCAGCTGGCAGTGGTTTTCATGTGATTGTGTTGGCTGAACACCTTGTAGAAACCAGTGGAGACATAAATACCTCATCTTGCTGAAAATTAAGAAAACATACGCTTAGGTGGGATTGCCAATGAGCAGCATCAGAGATGGCTATTCTCGTATAAGTGATTTATTGAGGGTGTGCTCTCAAGAGAAACCTGTAAGGCGGTGAGGGAAGCTGACCCTAACAGGGAAATAGGCAGAGAATGGTTTCAGAAATCTGGCTTCCACCTGTTCCACTAGAAAACATTGGAGCATGGATTTTGACTTCCACTTTGCAAAGGAGCTGAGGTTTTATAGCTCTTGTTTATGAACCACTCCTCAGGAAGGTGTTGGAGTGGTGTACGTATAGCTTCCCAGGCAACTCTGGGTGAGGTGGCTCTTGTGAGCTAGAGGCTAGGTCCCAGAAAAGATGGGAGGATAGAAACACGGGCTCGGCAAAGGAGAGCTGTCAGGGGTGGATGCAGTATCTGTAATACATACCCAAATATTCTTACACATAAAAGAAGGCAATAGTTCACATTTGTTGAAATCTCACTTTCTACCAAGTGCTGTGTTCAGTGCCCTACATGCATGAGCTTGGACCTGTCAGGGGTCTGTCCTAGAGTATGTTAAACAACTATCTTCCTGGAGATTGCATCATAGAACAAATCCAGTCAGGGACCCAGGGAAAGAGTGCCTATTCCTGCATTTCACTGAATTTGAGAAGCACTGATTACAAGGTATGTCATTATTTTATGCTCTACTAGGAAAGAAAACAAATACCTCCTAAGGGACTATAATACAGTGCTTTCCTATCACCCACAGTGACAAATCACTTGGCAGACATGTCAAAATGTAGGAGAAAGGCATGCATGTTATTTGGAGATTCATGAATATTGATGGCCAAACAACAAGTTGGAAGAAGTTTTTTTATTAAGAAGTATACAATTTTAAATCATGAATTAATCTCTTTGAAATGAGTTCTAAACTGGGTTATTTAAAATGATCATTACTGGGCTGGGGATGTGGCTCAGCGGTACAGCACTCGCCTCACATGTGAGAGGCACTGGGTTCGATCCTCAGCATCACATAAAAATAAATAAATAAATAAAATAAAGGTATTGTGTTCGTCTACAATTTAAAAACATGTTAAAAAAATAAAATGACAATTATTTTGAAATACTATAGTGCACACAAATGTTTGTAAGAATTACATATTCTTTCTATGTCACACAGAGATTCTTAAAACAATATGCATATACTTCCTGAAACTTATATTTGCTCCAGTACATCTATATGGTATTTTCATATAGAATCATTATGTGCTCTATTCTAAGCAGAGATTATATTAATTACACCTGTCAATAGTTTATCAGTAACTCTTACAATTTTCTACAATGGTATACATCTGATATTAATTACGATGTTTTCTTGTTCACATATGTTTTAATTCTTGATATAAAACATAAAAACAAAGACTATTGATAATTTTAAGAGACTTTTCAATAAATGGACCAATTACACATGCTGTTGTATGCCACACAATTTTCAAAGATTACCCATTACTTCCCTGGCACATTTCAAGTAGTAGAAAGCCAAAGACAATGCCATTGATTTGATAAAACCAAGACTTTGAGTTGGCATATTGGCTTACTCTATTACAGATTGGTGTTTCCTCATTTTCCAGTATTAGTGTGAACATTATAATATGAATTATATTAGAGTGAACCTTATAAATATTAACAGTGCAATATTTTTAATGAACACTCTCTGAGCAACAGCCAAATGAAATGAAATAGCCACCCTCGTTATGCTTTAGTTCAGTTAGTTAATTGAAATATGAGAGATTTCTTTATTTATTCTATGTTAAAAAGTGCTTATTGCCTTAGCCAGCTAGTTGCTATTACCAAAATTAAAAACTATATAAATTACACAAAGCTATCCACAGAGGCTAGCTTAAAAATTACTGCCCCTGCTGAGGATAAAATGATGTCTTTGGTTGAATTACCAGATACAAAATAACATCTAGAGATAAATTATTTTTTAGACCATTATTAAAGGATTAAAGGTAGGTCCCAAATCTCTGTTGACCAGATTCATTTTCGCCTTTATGGTTGGTATGCCTTTGCTCAGTTTTGAGTTATTTATAACAGAGGAAATTGCTGCGTTGTTAAATAAAGCTCAGAGCTGCCACAAAAACGAATCTCATTTATTGCTTTTGTTTGTGGGTTTGGTTTTCCATGCCACCATCAGAGAGCCTGCTCTGGCATCTTTTGCAAGTTATCCAAAATTTTCAATTGGTTTATACCTAAGCTGATCAGAAAACACTTTCGATGCAGATTTAAAGCTAGGGTTCAAGTTCATGTGCAATCACTAACAGTTTTTAGAACTGAAAGTCTAAGCCTTGGAATTGTTTCCCCCTTGCTCAAGAGTGGGAGGATTGGTAAGGGAGAAAAAGTTTTCATCACATAGCTTTGCCCTTAGAGATAAGCTTCAATTTTTCACCTGTCTAGGAAACACTATCTCAAAAGAAAGCCAAAAGGATAACCTTTTGAGAGAAAGTGAGAGCATCTCTCTGCTGGACCATTCTACTTGGCCCATGATGGAATTGTATCATAGAAAAATTGAATAGCTTCAGATGTTATGAAAGTGGGTCATCTCCCACTATCCTGATTGATCAGAAACTATACCAAAGTCAGTGGGAGTGGGGAAAACCCATGGAAATAACTGCAGAGCTTAGATATGTTTTATTGGCATTTTATTCAACAATAGTTTAAACAGATGTTCATCTTTAGTTGTTCTTTACTTTGAATACAGAAGAAATTTAGTTTATTTCCCAGGCTAAGAATAAGAACAAGGAAATGAGCACTCTCATACATTTTTTTTTCCTTTTTATACATCTTTCTGGCTTTAAAAGTAAAGGAAAAATAGGGATAAGTTACAGAAGAGAATAAAAATCATTTGTTTTTATTTGGTGAATCATTCATTTTTTAGTATATACTATGTACTAGGTATTGTTCTAAGAACTGGGGCTATAGCAGTAAATATGCAATAGACATTTCTACCCTTGGTGAGCTGACAGTCTCATCGGGGGAGATAGATAATAGTAACAAACAATATGACATGCTAGGTGATAACAACTCTTGAGAAAAACAAACTGAGGTATTCACAGTACACACAAATTCAGGGAGTACTTTCACATTTTATTTTATGTCCATCTTACCCCTACAACTCTGCACCATGGCTCTGGAAAGAACTGGAGACTGTTGGAGCCTGTGAATGGAGAAAGGGATATGTTGGAGGTATGGCTGGATTGTTTCAGAAGTGTTTGCTGAAGGTGACATTTCACATTAAAAACTTGAAGGGGCCATGGTGCATGCCTATAATTCCAGAGATCTGGGAGACAGAAGCAGGGGGATTGCAAGTTCAAGGCCAGCCTGTGTAACTTAAGGAGACCTTGTCTCAAAAGAATAAAAATAAAAAGGGCTGGGGATGTATCTCAGTTCAAGTAGCTTCAAGTTCAAAAAACTTGAAGATGTTGCTATTTAAAGGAAGACTGTTCTAGCCAGAAGGATCAGTCTGTGCAAAGGGGAAAGCATGTTTGGCAAGTCTCGGGTCCAGCTAAAGAAGCCAGTGTGGTTGGACAAGAGTCAGGACAAGGATAGTAACAGGAGATAAAGTGTGACAAGTAATAGGGAAGGTTATGAAATGAGTGTGCTGTGCAGCCACTGGGGAATTTTGAACAGAGGAATTTGATTTAATATTTAAAAGGTCATTTTCACATCTATACAGAGAATAGACTATGGGGCTGAGGCTGGGCAAGTCTGGAAGCTGATCTTACCATGCGAATTGGTGACTATCATAGAGGTGCTTGTACAGGTTAGGTCCTACTTGACTTTTGTTGTGATGCAGGAGGAAGATTACCATCTTCATTTCCCATTGTTGAGATATCCATCCATCCATTAGTTCATCCTGCACATATTTATGGTATGCCTTTGATACATCAGCTACTGATAAAGGTTCAGAGGAACAATGAACAAAATATGAACATTAGTCTCATGGAATTTATTATCTGTTTAGGAGAGGATTGACTAACAAACACATATCATGCCACATATTTGTAGTAGGTTAATATGGCTTCTAGGGGAATGCTGATGGAGGGTCAGACCAGGTGGAAGTAATGGTGGATTGTATGGATTCTGGATATATCCTGAAAAAAGTCCATTTAAATATTTTCTTATACAACATATGGATTCACAAGAAGAATAAAAATAAATTCAGTTTTTGGTATTGTTATAGTAAGGGAGTATATCCATGTAGTGTTTTGCATGGATTTGAGTGTGTGTGTGTGTTTAGGTGTATAAAGTGTTTTGTAGTTATAATCCTATGCCACCTACTAATATATACACTTGCACTTAGTATAGTATATACCATGACATAAGGATATTCTACATCCTTAAATAGTAATTAAGAATATAATCTTTAAAACAAAAGTCCAGCACTTCACAAATCACATGCATTACCCTGTTGTCATAAGTAAGCATTAGAGTGGGTTCTGTCGAGACTGGATGGCAGCCTGCAGTCTTTCAGAGAAGAGCTCTCTTTGGGTTTGCTGTGCTTTTTATCTTGCTGTTTCAGAGAGCTTATTAACTGGGGAGATTTGCCAAAGAGCTTATTCTCTGAGTTTGGTAAGGAGCCCAAGAGTTAGGTGGCCAAAGCTTTGCCCTTGGCCAGGCACCTGTGCTCTGATTCTCAAGGGATCGTTTCTTATGCTGATGAGGCTTTCCTCACCTAGCACATTTATGGACAGGCAATTCTCATGGTCACTTGTATTTTTGTGGTCTCCCCAGAAGTACTTACAGAATCTAGACAGGAGCCCAGCACCACATCCTTACACAGACAGTGGGAGTTACTAATTTCTTCTGGAATCTCTTCTTTTTATACCTCAGATAAGCACCCCCTATGCCTGCCTGTCACTGTGGCCTGGTTGCCTTCCTCTCAATCTTATGTGTGGAGACTTCTTCATAATTTTCCTGTTGGTAATTAGGTCCAAGCATTCAAATCAGCATTTGCCTGGACTGGAAGTGTCTGAGACACGTGTGTGCGTGCTTGGTACAATATTGGATGGAAATCCCAAAGCTTACTAAAATACTAAGCATTCTTAACTTACTGTTAGATAATTTTGTTTTCTTATTTCCTTGTGGCTTTGAGATGTGTTTTGGGGATTGTTTCTGGCATGCAACATAAATTCTAATCAGAATTGAAGCACATTTCATTAATTAGTATTACATTTGTGTGGTATGTCTCATTCACTACTTTAAATTGGCACTTACCTGTTATTTCTTATTAGAACCATAGATGCTATTCACCTGTCAACAGGCACAGCTCATCCTGGAAAATGAAGGTCTTGCCTAGTGGAAATTAGTTGAAAGAAAGAAAAATATTGACTTACTATTCTCACCATGGGAATTGGTGACTACCATAGAGAGAGATGCTCACACAGGTTAGGTCCTACTTGACTTCTGTTGTGATGCAGGTTAAGCAAGAGGAAGATTACCATCTTCATTTCCCATTGTTGAGATATCCATCCATCCATCAATTCATCCTGCACATATTTATGGGATGCCCATGATACATCAGCTACTGTTAAAAGTTCAGAGGAACCATGAAAAAAGTATGAACATTATTCTCATGGAATTTATTATCTGTTTAGAAAAAGGGTTGACTAACAAATGTCTATCATGCCACATATTTGTAAGTGCCATAAAGTATGCATATGGTAGGGTAATAGGACAAAGAATGAAGTGGACATGCTGTGTTATATGACATGAACAGGGAGACCTCTTGAATATGAATGGAGATCTATAAGATGGGGGGAATTAAGTCATGATTATCTGAAGAAAAGTTGGTGCAGACAGAAGGAAATAAAGGGTAAAGACTCCAAAGTGACAGAATACTGTCCTCCCGGAGCACCAGCTAGGGGGCATAATAATCGGGAGGGGAAGTGATAGAGATGAAAAGGAGATAGCAAATCCTTGTGGTTTTGCTATCTCATTGCCTGCCATGCCACCATTCCCCCTCTTATTTGTATAATGTGTTAGTCAGGCTTTTCATTGTTGTGACCAAAATACCTGATAAGAACGACTTGGAGGAGGAAAATTTTATTTTGGTCTGTTTCTAAGGTCTCAGTCCATGGTCACCTGACTGTATCACTCTAGGTCTGAGGTGAGACAGAATGTCTTGGTGGAAGGGTATATTGGAAGAAAGTTGCTCAGCTCATTTTTGTTCCAGAATTTTGAGATGAAACTAAATTCCCTGGTTCTGTTGACAGATGGGATTTGTTCAGGCCTCACCAATTTCCTTCTGGGTTCTTGTCTTGCAAATTTGAAGTCTAAAATCCACAGACAAGAACAAAAGGGAAGAGTGAACTTCGTAAGATTTATTTACGTGAGAAGAAAGAGAACTCCCATGATGTAGGAGGGGATCTGATAGTATGCAGGGCTGGGGCCTTCTGAGAAACTGAAGGAGCATGAAGACACCACCCTCACTGACCCCCACTTCCAATTCCCATCCTTGCCATCAAGTCAGAAAGATTTCAGATGTGTTGTTCAGAGTGACAAGCATGCGTTTATTGAAATGATAGGAAAAGGGAAAGTGGACACCCTCCAGGGAGAGAGTGTGTCTGCTCAGAGAGGAGAGGGACAGACAGCATGTCTCTCCTCAGTTTTAGTGGGGATTTCAGAGAAGTTTCTAGAGAGCCCCACCCATGTCTACCTCTTGACTTTTGACAGCAGGATGGCATCAGATTTTCAAGTCCCCACTGCTATGACAACTTTGGCTCATACTGACCGATTCTAATTGGATTCTGAACCATACATTCTTAGAGGCTTTATGGTTAGGAGGAATTATCCTGATCTCCCTGACTGGTCTGTGAAAAGGGTCACAAGATCTTCCCCTTCAAAGTAATTTGGGTTTTTCTTATTGGTGTTATTTTGGGCCTGTATTTTCTCTTCAGATAACAGATAGTTTGCTGAAAAATATGACATATCCTCTCCTATTAAACCAGGCAGGGCTGCAGGTGTTTCCTGGAAAAAAAAAAACATGTGTGTGGGGAGGCATAGTAGGTCTATTTTGTGGAATTATTCCTTTAACCTCATGTTCCCACTACTCACATCTGTATGTCCCCATCAATGGCAACCAAAAAGCAGAGGGAGGGAGGGAGGGAGGGAGGGAGAGAGAAAGAGGGGGGGGGAGGGAGGGAGGTGGAGTGGGGTGGGCAGAGATGACAAGAAGCCAAGGTCAAGATGTAATCCAAGGGCATGTCCCCAGTGACCTACTTCCTCCAGTCATGTCCCACCTGTCTTTAGTTACCACTCAATAGTTCATTCAAATTATTAATCAATCAAATGGATTAATCCACTGATGAGGTGACTGCTCCCATGATCAAATCATTGCCTAAAAACCTTACTTCTGAACCTTGCTCTATTGGGGACCATGCTTCAAAACCTTGAGCTTTTTGTGGAACATTGAATGTCCAAACATAACATGTAGAGCTTGAAGATGTTTATGTCTTCTACAACTCCTATTTAGAAAGAGATGTCATCCAGGATAAATAAGACCTTAGAGTCGTTATCATTGGAAAGCTAACTATACTTCTTGGAGATTCATGAATGACCAGCAAAAATTTGATTTAAAAAATAAGGGGGAGGTGTTGCTGGTAAATCGAGAAAGGAAATAGAATGTTATCAGGGAAAAGAGTGTGATAAAATAGCAGGAAGGATAACAAAATAAATTAATTTTGAAGACAATTATGTTTTTTAGCCAAATTAATTACCTTTGATTCCCCTTTTTTTTTTCTTGTAGGGCTCCAAATTTTTTATATAGTACACAGTCATGTGTAGCAGTTTTCTCTAGAAAAGAAAGAAAGAAAGAAAGGAAGGAAGGAAGGAAGGAAGGAAGAAAGAAAGAGAGGGGGGGAGAGAGAGAGAGAGAGAAAGAAAGAAAGAAAGAAAGAAAGAAAGAAAGAAAGAGAGAGAAAAGAAAAAAAGAGATTTTTCTCTCAGGCTCAGAAAGTGGTAGGTCTTGTGTACTCTAAGCCAGTTATGATGATTTCATCTCATCAGTAAATTATTTAGGCAATAGCAGGCGACAAATTCTGTCCAATGAAATATGAGAAGTCAGCTGGGAAGGGGTTTTTAGTAAAGGTGTTTCATATTTTTAACAGAGACAGAATCGATAAGGCAGATTCTTCTGGATGTTGATTGTTTTAGTCAGTTTTTCTACTGTTGTGACCAGAAGACCTGACAAAAATAATTAGAGGAGGAAAAGTTCATATTGAGGCTCGTGGTTTCAGAGTCTCTGTCCATAGAAGGCCAGCTCCATTCCCTGGAACTCCAACAGAGACAGACCATCATGGCAAAAGTATGTGGTGGAGGAAAGCAAGTCAGGTCATGACCACAGAGAAGCAGAAAGAGACTCTACATGTCAAGGACCAAGTATGTAACCTCCAAGACATGCCCCAGTGACCTGCCTCTTCTAGCCACACTCTACCTGCCTTCAGTTACCTCTCAGTTAATTCCTATCAGGGGATTAATTTTCTGATTGGCTGAAGGCTCTCATAACTCAATCATTTCACCCCTAAACCATCTTGTATTGTCATACACATGAGATTTTGAGAGATACTTTACATCTAAACTATAACGTTGATGGATTAGGAGAGTTTGGCTAACCATTGTGGGGTGCGTGTCAACATAAGGAGGTTTCTTGTCATGGTTAGGTGAAGGTCCTGGCTCATTTACTGATGGTCTGTTGCTTCAGAAAGGACTTTTAGAATCCAGATACAAGGGGAAAACCCACAAGACCCATACAAATATGTATTTCTATATTCTTACATAAAATGATGTAAGTTGTTTTATTTGTAATAAAACCCATAAAAAACCTGTGCATCTATCAGTAGAAAATCATAAAGTATTACCATTACATATCAGATATTTTTTAACCGGTGCTTTCAAAGAAAATTTTTACAAATATTGTCAGGAGAAAGTATTGCACAAAAATATGAAGGTTTCATGCAGATTTGACCTATGTGAAAAGAGAGATGTATTCATAGGGGAAAAGTCAGAAATAGACCAAATATTAATAGCAGTTACTTCTAGATGATAGGATCAAATAGGATTAGATGTATGAATTTTGTGTTTGTTTTTATGCCATTTTACATTTTAACACCTTATAGTGAAAAAGTGGAACTTCTATTGGCAGGTGAAAGTTATGAATTTTTCAAAAAAACAAAAATCAAAGAAACATGAACCAGGTGCCCCACAGGCCTTCTCTAATACAACATTGAAAACTTCAAATAATTTTCATGAAACCAAGACCCACGGGGACTCTCAGTGTACCTTGTCTACTCAAGTCTTACCTTTGTCAGACATTAGCCTTGATGTGAATACTTCATCAAAACTGCATGTCCAGCCAGGCATAGTGGCACACACATGCAATCCCAGTGGCTTGGGAGGCTGAGGCAGGAGGATCATGATTTCAAAGCCAGCCTCAGCAATTTGGGGAGGCCCTAAGACATTTAGCAAGACCCTGTCTCAAAATAAAATAAATAAAAAGGTTAGGGATCTGGCTCAATGATTAAGCAACCCTGAATTCAAACCCTACTACCCCCACCCCCCCAAAAAAAACCCCCAAAAATCAGAACTAAAAATAAAAAAAAAATATGTTTAAAAATCACTACTCTAAAAAAAATGGTGAGAATTCTTTATAGTCTCCAAAAGGGCCACCTTTCTAGTAAGAATGATATTGTTAACTCAGAGGTGGGGTGGCCCTCTTCTGTGGCCCAGGCCCATACTTCCACAGACTGTGTAGAATAAAATAATGAACTCTGGTTTTCATATGAGGTCCTCTGCTTAAGTTCAGCCACTACCTAGTGATGATGGACACGGAACGGTGATGGCAGTGATGGGTTGTTCTGCATGTTTGTTTTTTCTACCCCAAACACCAAGGGAGCATGAGACCTAAGCCTGCAGATGACTGCACCAATATTGCTGCACAGGACAAATTAGAATTTAAGTCAGCTTGAGTCCTGCAGGGTCTCTGGGCCTCTAAGCTAATTTAGGATGACCTGCAGAAGCCAACGGGAGGCAGAATCTGGATGTTTCAAGTAGTTTTGAGACTGGGAATGATTTTAGAATCATTGGTATGATGGAATACTTAGAGTTAATATATTTAACATTTTGGAACACACATCAAGGGATAGTTTTATTTCTCTTCCCTATATCCTCGCATAAACATAACATATGATCCAACAGTCTATTATATCTCGGAGCTCTCTTGGGGTCTTGTCTGTCTGCTGTATGAGAGGAAAGAAAATGGAATGTTGGAGGAACAAGTGTCATGATCCGGCTGTGTTATGGCCAGTGTGGTTATATCGTAAGTTGTTAAAGTTTGCATTATTTGATAATCAGAGTCAGAGACAAGAACTTGGGTGTAGAATTTGGATGCAGATAGATTGCTTAGTACATATTTCTCTGAAATATAAGTGAGGAAGTGGGGAAGGTGGAAGGAGGAAAATCCAATACCGTGTGCAATGTTAAGGTCATTACTTAAAAGTTTGTAGCAGAATACAAAACAAGACAAAACACTAGGGTTGGTCAATTGTGTCAGCATCACTGAGACCATCTGAGAAGGTACAGAAGACTTTCAGAACTGTTTGCATATGGGCCGGATGCAAGAGCACTTTTACCTTCTCTTAACCTTTAGTATTTTGTGTCACCTTCACACAATTGCCCTGAACTTTCAGGCCAAACTCACACAGGTGTCTAGCACTCTTGGAAGATACCTCTGGGAGAATGAAATATGTGGCGTATGCTTGAGGTGGCACACTATGTGTTAGGTGAGCCTCTGCTCGCATGGAACTGTTTCCTGGAGCTGAGATGGCTGAGAGGATGTGATAGGGATCATCAAAGTTCCTGGTGATGTCAAGCCTTAGAAATAGTGTTTTAGGAGTTGGAGCTCGGGACAAATTGAATATGTAGTCTATATTTTAATGTACTTATGAGAACCTATTATATTCCAGATGGTGGGAAAATTGTCATGGTTAAGATCCCTTATAAGATTCCAGTTTGCTATAGGAGATAAGCTTATTTCAATTAAATTCATTACCTACTCTCATGGAGGTGTGTACAGGATGCATAATAAGATTTCATGGGAAGCTGCTCTTATTCCAAACTGAGGAAAACTCTCAGAGGAGGTAAGAATTGGGGGACAGAGATGCACACACGTGCATGCACATGCACACACACACATCGATCTATATCTTTGTGTGTGTTTCTTTCATTCAGAAGGGTGATGATTGCATGCTTCATGTGAATTATTTATCCATATTCTTGAAATTCAAATCAAGAGGCATTTTAAGATTCATGGAGTACAAAAACGGACCACACAATAAACTGGCTTTAGAGAAAAGTGTAACTTTCCTCCCAAATCATACGTATGCTTTGGATACTTTGATATTTTTTGGTTTTCTGGTTACTTATGTTCATTGCAAAAAAATGAAGACTGCCCATAAAGCTTATGTCTAGGTTTGAATTTGTATTCCGCAGAAGAAAACCTTTGCACCTGCCACTGAAATGCATCCACGTCTGGAGTGGAATGTGCCAGCTGTTCCCATCTCCAATGGCATGCCAGGCAATCCAGCTCTGAGAGGGAGGCATCAGATCCCAAGCAGATGAAGCTAGTGGGGAAATTTCAAGTTGACAGAATGCAATTACCCAAATTGAAATTAGGCCAGGGGCATATCTGGAGGCCCTTCCCATCTGCTGGGGGAAAAGGATCATCAGATATTTACTGAGGGCAAGTGGTCAGTGTCTTAGCTTCAGGAGATATTTAAAAGGCAGACACTTAATTTAAAAAAAAATACTAAAGGAAAACTGGACCTGGTATAAAAATCATATCCCTTCCCTGGAAAACAAAACAAAACAAAGAAACAACAACAACAAAAAAAAAACCACATAAAGGCCTTGAGAGCCTCAGCCCTTTCTGGCCTAGGAGGAAAGAAATGTTTATGGATAGGGAAGTTAAATATTTCCACATCAGCTACTCTTAGAAAAGACATGGCATAATGGACAATTGGTTATACTGGAAGTGACACAAAGAGATTTCCCCAACCAAACATATTGAGTCAAATACATTTATCCCTGGTCATAGTGGATAGATCTTTCCATTATGAGCTTATGGAACAACACTGTGCAGTTTCTCTAAGGGCCTTGACACAATTATTATTTCTTTACCCAAAGAAGCCAGCTAATTTTTAGAGTTTGTATTGTAAATAAAGAAGCTGGGATCACACAAGCCTTTAATAACTACCTTGGGACAATTGTACCTCACTTCCATAGAATCTGCAGGTCCAGGTTATTACAGGGAGGCCCTGCCTGTTCCCTTGACACTGGTAACACATATACCCTTCGCCCGGAAGGGTGGCTTTTGGTGAGGAAATATAAGAATCTATCTTAGTCTTCATACCTTTGTGAGGCCACACATTCACATATGCTCCCCACACTCTAGTCAGAGAGAGGGAGAAGGAGAATGAGGCATCTCAGGCCAGACTGGTCAGGGGGAATCCATCAACCTGAGCAGACTGGCTAAGATACTGACCACTTGGAACTTTCTTTGCTTACAAAAGCTAAGATACTGAGGCTGGGGATGTGGCTCAAGCGGTAGCGCGCTCGCCTGGCATGTGTGCGGCCTGGGTTCGATCCTCAGCACCACATACAAACAAAGATGTTGTGTCCGCCGAGAACCAAAAAAAAAAAAAAAAAAAAAAAATATATATATATATATATATATATATATATATATATATATATATATATATATAAATTCTCTCACTCTCTCCCTCTCTCTCGCTCACTCTCTCTTTAAAAAAAAAAAAAAAAAAAAAAAAAAAAAAAACAAAAGCTAAGATACTGACCACTTGCCCTCAGTAAATATCTGATGATCCTTTTCCCCAGCAGATTCTTCTTAGTCAATTTTTGAACTGGGAACTCATCATTTCTAGCTTGAGGGAGGAATAACAAAGAGGTATCTTTGTGCCAGATGTCTCCTTTTCCAATTGCTGCCTTTTGGAAACGTGGTTTCCTGGGGTTCTCACTCGCTACTCCCCAAAGGACAGCACCAAGGAGTCTTTTCTCTACTCTTCCTATAAGCAGCTATTTGATGCCATGTGGCTAATCCTGAAAGGCTCTCACTTCTCCTTCCCACGGTGCGTAGAGAGGAAGGAAAAGACATGAGCTGGTAAGAAATCTTACTCAGCATTAAAAGGAAAAAAAAAAAAACTTCCTTTGTTAGGGTGGTTCACTTGGAACTTTCTTTGCTTACAAAGAGGAAGAATGCAGAGGAATCTGCTAGAAGAGCCGGACCTGCATGGGGTGAGACAAGGTTAACTGTCAAATTTAATGCAATTGTCTACTTTGGGAGGGAAGAAGCCACACGAGGACACGTATACATTAGGCCTCTGAATCCCTCCCTCCCCTATAGTACTACCATTTACCTGAGTCTATGGCAGTGAAGATCTAGAATCTCCAAGTCTCAGGGGTTTTCCACTAGTTTATCCACCACATAGTGACAAACCATCCCAGAAAACCTCCCAAGATGAGCTCAATCCAACCAATGGCCTAGCCTGGCCGTATTCGTTAGAGTTCACTTGTGAGAGGTGTGAACATACATGGTGACTTGTGGCCCTAGCGTTGCCCCTTTTTGATGAATCAGCCTATACAGATTTCTTCACCTCTTCATTTTTGTTTCCTTCTTGGTCATTTATAAGTACCAAAGTTTATCTTTCACAGGGGAAAACAGAACACATGTGAGTTAATGTTAATCCAGAGCTCTACAAATGTTAAAAACTTGGCATTATTATTTAGAGGCTTAACTTGTACTAACTGCCTCTTAGTTTTACTAGCCCTATATAACCAGCCATCTTTTGCACGTTTTATGTGAAAGCTGGTTTTCTGGAAGGGGTGAAAGTTGTAGGAGTAGGGAGTGAAATAGGTGCTAAGTTTTATTTCCTACTAAATAATTCTCCTCAAGGTGGGTAAACCTTTAGTCATTAAATTGCTGAAAACGAAGATTCTACGTTACAAGAACAAATCTCTAAGTGACAATTATTTGTCTGTGTTCTTAGCATTTACGAGTCTCGGTAAACATTCAGTACATTTATGTTCCCCCCATTACCTTCGGTCATAAACTTCCTTAAAGAAAAAAGAATAATTATGTCTCCTGACTGCATAATGAGCACAGACGTTCAGAACACTGAAAGCCTCTGGTGGCACAGGTCTGGCATGCAGGCCGCTAAGGGGCCAAGTGTTTTCAAGGCACTGGCAAAAGTGGCAGGCTGACTGTGTGTCCATGATTTAGTGCCATTCATGGAGGTGCCATGTCAAGAAGGCAAAGTAGAACTTCTGGGACATTTTTGGAGTTGAGTACTGCTCCAGCATACAGCTGCGGGGAACATCTAGGAGTCTGACCCAAGTGTGATGACCCCATGCTACTGATGCAAACCTCACCATCAGTCCCCAGGGCCAGACAGT